GGGATACTGTAGGCTGTACGTTACTATTGGTGCCGGCCCTGCAAAGAACGTCATTGCCGCTGTACCGCTTAATTCGCCCATACTCGTCCCAACTGCAATATGCCTTTCGTATAGCCTATAGGTTGTTTCTGATTTGGAGCTGATCTTCCAGTATTAGAGGAAGCATCAGTGTTCATTCATTACTGCTCAAGAAATGTTTCGTTATTGCGACCCTAAACCTTTTGCTTGTAAAAGCTTGAATTTGGTGTGAAATTAGTGCAGCGCACCAAGAAATGATGCAGGTCATTTGTGCATAGCGTGGGTAAAAAAGCCGTAGAATAATCCATATATTTTGTAGTTTCTTCAGTTCCCAACCTATCGTTAGTAAGATTATGAGTCTCTTTTATAAAAGACTCATAAAAAGTGTATGGTGTTTCTAATGTTTTATACGAACGAATGGAATAAGTAAGAGATATTCATTTAGGCCAACTGTTGGATAATACAAAGGTTTGAAGCTAGTAAGACTAGCTAGCGGTCGTAACTATCGCTTATAACAACGATATAAATTAAATATCTTAACTTACGAAACAATTTCTCACTGAAACGACAAGACTTTAGTCTGCTATTTCAGTGCATCGCATTGTAATTTATTTTTCTTTGTTTTCGTGAACAATCTCGTCGTCCATCATCTGTAGCAGAAAGCAACACGGCTCAGTACTTAGGTCCACAGAAGCACCGAGGTCTTTGACAGTGACAACCTATCTATTTCGTCGAATTAACTAGCCCGACACGTTTGCCACTCCTTGACAGGTATTTGCATCCTTTTCTGTGGAAGCATAGCGTTTGCATCATAAACTTTTCTTCACTTTAAGGCGAACGAATACGTGCTTTGCCAGGTAGCGAAAGGGGCAACACTAGAGGAAGCACTACAACCATCAGGCGTAAATCTGCCTCTGCAGAATCTATTGCCCAGCCGGTACTGTGTCTTCTAACAGAGTCTTATTATTGCGACTTACACTGCACTCAGGTACTTTCAGAACTGAACGGCGTTCGCAGAGCCACAAGGAAGCCGCGATGTACTTTGGGCTTGCATGGCGCATCGTGAACGCCTACTGATCTGGTTTTGCTAGTTTATCTCGCCGGACTTCAGACTTCGACAGGCAAACGATTTCGCAGTTGGTCGGTCAAGAAACCAGAAGTTTACACACAGCCCATAAGACAATGTACTAATTATTTCTAGGTAATTACAACAGAGGGAGCTTCTCGTACCTTATTCTGATCATTGAAAACTAAATATTTCGAATTTTATGCCCAGTGCTGACATGAGGCATCCTAATAGACGGCTCTTACTGCTAATGGTAACATTTATAGAGTTTTACCTAAAGTGAAACGAATGATTTTCGAGAAAGTGCATAGTTGATTCGTTGATTTGCGACGTTTGAAGGATTCCAGGTTAGTTGTATTTAGACATATGGCAAAATACGTTTTGCACATGATTCCCTATAAAAACCAATGATTTGCATATCTCGTATCCATATCCTCCATACTTGTATGTGTCCCACATTTACAGGAGGAAATTACCTGGTGTTATAGAACGCACACGCTCGAATTAAGCAATAGCCCTAAACCACAGCCTGATCCATTTTGAGCAGCGGTTGCATAATTAGATTAAAGTTAAGTTCAAAAGCTGCTCCTGATATACGCACGTCACAATAATGACAGCGGTTCGACAAAGTCCTGATAAATCCATTAACTCTAGCCTTCACAGCGCGGCTAGCTAATGTACAGCATGAGGAACTTTTGAGCGGATGAGTGCGAACGTGTTACGTTAATACATGATTGAAAATTCTCGCAGTACTTCGTAGACCATTATTTTCGATTGAAACATGAATTAGAGATATGTTCAGCTCCTGCGATTGGATACAAATGCTCACGGTAATAAATAAATAGACTGGGATCAAGTAGAAGCACACACGTACTCTTGGAGCAACGCGAAAATCACGAATTATTTTCGACCCATCTGCGATGGGTTTGTCCTCACAGAGAGCAGCTGATACAGCTTCTCTTTCAGTGTGTAAAGATTGTGCATCTTCAATGGATATGGACATGCATGACCACAACAGAATTTGTACGTTCACTCGGATTTCTTTCAGTTTTTTTCTAAAGCATATTTATATCTAGAGTGCACTTCGATTGTATTTAATGTTTTCGTTGGCGGTTTTGTAAAGAAAAAGACTGCTTTTAGGTATATTAGAACAAAACCTATGAAAGATGGTAGCAGTTGCCACACCGTTACACATACGTTCATTATCTGCATTATATACCAAGGAGTATTAAAGGAAGTTTTTTTTTCCATTCCTTTTTGTTTCCATATTGTCTAGCTCACAAAGGTAAATGTCAGAAATGCGTTCGCTTGTGAAGCACTACGAATATGAATCGTAAATAGCGGAGTGTCTAAACTAGGCTTTTGTTCCACGCTTTAAAGGGTTGAAGAACGCGGGATCTGAGACAACAAAAAAGGTCCGTTTGCTAGGAACATACGTCTTCATAAGACAAGCCAGTCAAGAACATTTCAGCACTCCAGCAGTCACAGCGATCGGCCCTGACTAGAAGAGGGTGATCGCTATTTTGCCATTCAAGCGTCAAGATGGGTGGCATAGATGAACTGTGCGGTTGCTCTTTGGGCCTTAGAGAGACTTTTTACCTCTCCAGAAGCGCAGCAGAAAATTATATGTCAGTAGCATATAGATGTAGAACCCCTACATGACAAACTACCTTGAAAAATCTGAGCGAAAACTTACCATTACCAACGGAAATCACGTACCTTCTGCCAAACGTAATGACCGAAAGGAAGTTTTGGCTAGGCTAAAACTAACTTGCCTCTGAATGTTTTAATTTTTTAATCCGTGTCCATAAACTTTAATAACGATGACATTCAGACAAGGTCTGTAGATAGGCCAGATTCACAGCACTAAGGTGCGCCATCATATTTGTCAATCCGCGCAAAATAATTCATATTATTTGGACCTATTAATAATAAAGCAAATCTTACTAGGTAAGTTCCCAAAGAATAATCGCAGTCTCGTGTCCGATAAACGCGATCTAAATGTCGAAAGCGGATGGTCGACCAAACGTTTTAATTAATATTCAAACACAAACCTGGTCATGTAGAAGAAAGTTTAAAATGTTTTTAGGTTTAATTAAATAAAACAAAGGTAGTTTTTTAATCGATGCCTTTCGGCCATTCGGCATATCTAAACCATCCGGCGGAGTGGAAACCGGCGGAGTACACTCCAACAATATTAGTGTGACATTTTGGCCAACTTAAGACGGCCGTTTTGTATGTACGTACCCCCGACAACTGAATGATTTAGGCGTAAATTAAATGATGTGAGATAAGATGGAAGTGAAGATGCTCACGCGATTTTTTCACCAAAATATGGCTGCTAGAAATTTCGCGGGATCACTCGATTTAATAGAAAGAAAAACGTATAACACAGCCTTACGAAATTCTTTTGTGAGAGGTGTTTTCTTTATTATGATTTATGATCGGATTATATGATCGGCCTGATCACATTAAGTATATAACATTTTATGCGATATATAGTATTTGTACACTTGCACCTCGAACATAAGGACCACCATTGCAGGTCGATCTTGATATTCGCAATGTTTTTTTCAAAAGTTATTGTCATACCACCGTCAAAGTATACGTTTAATTTAATAAATAAAAAGTTTTTCAACGGTCGCTTATTTTCAACGGACGCAGTAGGAATTGTTATACGAGAAGTGTCGGTAGGTTTAAAGAACAAGCTCGCTTTTTGTTTGTTTTTGTTGCGTTGCCCCTCTGGCATAGTATTATTTACTGACCGTCAAAATCGTATTTCCATCGTAAGAAAAAACTAAATGTTTCACTGACCATCTTCTAGTTACTAGGATTCGTTTCCCCATCTAATAAAATAATATTCGTCTAAGCGTCATCTACCCTTGCACTCGGCGGGTATCTAGGTAATCTCCGAGTTCACCCAGTACATTCCACTGCAGCCATCGAGACACAAGCCAGTATGGAGAACATGAGGCGCCCGGGCAGATCGAGCATGAAGCCGCGAACATCAACACTACGAAACCTTTTTGGACTACCTATTGTACACGCTCATTTAGGCGGACCCTCCTTTGCTGTCTCTGCTAATTTTACTACTATCGCTACCTCCCGTTCGTATGGGTCATTCACCTACCACCCCCTTCGCGAACTTCGCTTCCGAGAGCGGCAGTCAGTCCGTTTTTCCGTGCCGTTAGTTCCAACGTTCGTTTGCCACTCTGGCCTTATGCCCCGCTACGAAATGACTAGATGGTCTAAACGGTTTCGAAGTAGCGTGACCCTACTTCTGCGCCCAGCTTCTGCCCTTTCCTTTGACTCTGCCAAGCACCGGCGGCACGGCAAGCGAAAGAACTCTTTCATTTTGTGTTATAAACAATTACAGTTCGCCACCTTTTACTTTTGACTTTTACCCCCCTCTTAGCCTGTAGTCGATAGCCCCTTCCGCATGCGAACGATGAGCGGTCAGCAAAACAAACATCATCTCGAAGTAGGCGCCCACTTGCCAGACAAGAAAGTGAAACTGGTGGATTAGTAATAGTTGAAGTCCGCCAGAACCGTCGAACGTGACAAACGAGAGTGGTTTAGACACATGAAAAGAGATTTTTGCTAAGAAATGATGTTACGATATCCACGTCAGCTGGTTTTAAGTGTATATAGCTTTGTTTTTAAGTGTTTATAGCTTTGTTTTTCATATTATCCTGACCTAATGATTAGCATATCCAATGAATAGCCGCATCCTGGAGCAGTGAACAAACAGCGAGTATCTAAGAAACGAGTATCTTAAAATTGGCGAAGGGGTCCAAAACTAAAACATCCTATTTAGCCGACGCATAGCAACAGTGCTATACGTTTGCATATACAGACAGCCATGATATTCGAAGGTACCGTCTGCTTGAATGCACTGTACAATACGTGAACTAACCTCTTCGAGGCGATCGTTTGGGACGGTAAACCACACTCGTCCTCGACTCGTTTGACCGTAAAGGCTGAGCTTCTCTTTGATTTCCTCCCGGGCCATAGATTCCAAACCAGACACAACCGTAGCTTCTACAACAGTGGAACCTTCAGGGGAGCTCCAGAAATACTCAGCTTCATCACCTGCCGCCATTGAGGCGCAGTCCTCCTCGACAACTGAAACAGTCTCCGCAGCCCTGAAAGATGGGTCACCAGGTTTGGCAGTAGCCTTCGATAAATCATACTCATTCCCGGCAACGCCATTATCAATCATTGTGGAGGACGACATCTCTCTGAAAATACCACACAAACCCCGTTAAAAATAAATCGCAGGGAACCACAAACGTGTGTTAGTCTTTAGCCACGTATGATAGATTGCCTAAGAGTAAGCTGGTTTCAAAAAGGTCGTTAAATACTACTCACAACATTTATGTGCCTGTTTTGTACTCTGTTTGGTAACGTAGACAGCAAACTGCAAATCACCTTTACCCGTTTTTTTCTATTATATCTTTTTAACTGCTCTGGTTCAAAGAAAAACCGATGTTTTAAGTAGCCGACCCACTTGTGGCACTACGATACAAACCCGTCAGGCTTTAGAAGATCCACCGGTACATCTTCTTTCATATGCACTGAAGTTAATCATAGAACTATATAAAAGTCTGCGGGTATTTTTAGCTAAGATGTTATCGAAGCTTACCGGATGGACAGAAGTTAAACGTTCGTCCCCAGTGGAAATCAATAGGGAAACGAACCACTCAGAGAGACTATCACAGATCGTGTCTTATATAGGTTTTATTTTTCATACCTAGGATGGGACCTAAACGCGCTAAAATTTGCACAGGGTTTTCTCTTTATCAATGAACTTCAATGAAGTTCATAATCTAGGTATATGTATGCCGAAGACTTCTAGTGAAAATGTGAAGAGAAATCTGCTTTTTGATGAGTGTTTTATGCACCTATATAGTACGAATTCGTCATCCATTTAAGCAAATGTCAGATCTAATTTTTCATTCCAGCAGTTCGTCAGTTTACTTATACATGTTCCCGTATTTGGGCTCTGAGCAGCGACAAAGATCTCAGAACGAAACTCTGTCCACTCCAATACCTCATGATGTTATTTTGCTTAATTCGAATTCTATTTTGGAGCTAAAGACGACGTTTGGGAGCGAAACGCCTTTCAAAAAGTTGGCCCTTAAGCAGCCTTTTCAAGCGGCATAACCTGTTTTAGGTGCAGAACTCACGTTCTTCCTCTCTCAACTTAGTCGAAGTCGCCTAGCTCGGTAGAGGCGCATATTCAGCACCACCTAAAAACTGTCAAATCTATCCCTTGATATCTATTTTACTTCAAGATATCCTGATGTTTGCGCTTTCTTCATATATCCCACCAGTTTTCATTCAAATAACCTGGTCGAACTCAACTGGATGAGACTCGACTTTAATTATCGGCATCGCAACTCCGTCATTTGTCATGCAATAGAGTCCTTCGAGCTACCTACTGTAACTCTTCTGTTTCCCGGGTGTACTTGCTAGCACTAAACTTAGTCACCTCAGTCACTACATCCAGCAGAGGCTTCCGAACCAGCTTTACGTTGTTCCGGCAACAGCGAGATATGCAACGAGATACATTTGGCCTATAGGCCGTTCGCTTGTCGCCAAACACTGGGAAATGGACCTACCGTCCAACGTATACTGCTGCTGCCGCAACAACAGTACCAGCAATAGCGCTAGAAAAGAGGGGGCCGCAGCCATCACGAGAAGGTAACCCCGCCGCGACTTCATTAGCGAAAGCCACTTAGCCCAAACATCGGTAGTAAAAGTAGGGTCAGCATTAACAGCAGCAGTCTCTGCTGCCATACGAGTAAACTTGAGCCGTAACGCTGCTAACGTTCTATGGAGAGCCCGCAGCGGCTGTAAGACGGGCCGCAAGCATATGGCGCCAAAAACCGCAAACTCTAAGTAGAAAGGTTTGGCTTAGGTAGAAGCAGTTTCGCTGCCTAGGTTGATAAATAACTGTTCCTGTTTGAATCCGGTCCCGCCTCTAGTTGCCTCTATATATTCTTTGCTGTTTTATCTCGGTAATAATTTTCTGCATGTTATCCTACCCTGGTTGCTGTCCGTATCCCCATACGAGTCCACCCCTTACATGTACGTATATCGTCCACAGTGTGCACTACGAGACAGCCCTATACACCGGTAGCATTAGTAGATAGTGCCGTAGCTAGTAGGTAATTCACTTTAAAGCTTCTGAGGATATCTATACATCAGACAGTGGCTGTTTGGGTCATACGGAACTTGCGACGTAACTGGCATTGCGAGAATCGGCCGCCGCCAGGGTTCTACGTAACCGCGTGAATTTCAGAAGGTTCTGTGAAGAAGAGGTCGTCCTCGCGAATTTAGTTAACTTCGTGCTTCTTTTCTATTTCCTATTTTCTGTCCCAATGTTCCCTAGACAGCCTACCGAATAGTTGAGCCTATCCTATCATGTCCTGTTATACAATAAAAAGGAAATGTTGTAAATTATTATATATAAGCAAAGTAAAGCCATTTTCTCCCTCCGGTCCATCAACAGCGACACCAAAGGTCACTGGCCAAAGCACATCGTGTCGCAAACTATCCCTGTGTCTATGTGTACGCAACCAAAAGATTTATGTATCTATACTTGTGTAATATATGGCCGAGTATTAGAGCACGCCTCTTTGTTTACTGTTGTATGGCTTGTGCCGTTCCCGTCAAAGCGACCTCTACACCTTGGCTTAACGGACGGTCGCCGGATTACTGCTGATGCTATCGTAGTCGTAACTCACGGTTCTTCATACTTCCTGCCATAGTAAATAGTGCAATATGTTTAGCAACAAAACTAGCTGCACTGGCTTGACGCAACAGAAGCGATCCTACATGAATAGAACGGAATGTGGTAGCTCTTTTGCATTTGTTATGTTGCTACAGGCTACAGACATCGACAGCATCGGTTAATAACAGTATTCGAGCCAGACTGATTAGGTCGGTTGTTCTCTAGTTATCAGGTTAGAAGGAACGCTGGATTTAGCTATGGCGAATAAACGGAGACGGAAAACACGACCTACAAGCCAGCAATGGCCAAAGTAAAACATTCGGATCCAGGTTGCCTATTTTCTAGGATCTTCTTGCACATAACAAACGGAGGACCGTGGAGAGGTGAGGTTTGAGAAAAACAGATTTGGTCTGGCGGAAGTGATAGCATTATACTATATATTAGCAAATCAGGTCAATTTTTGCCAGCTTCTCTGGCCCCATGATTCCGACTCAGATGGGTCGACGTCGCAAGTATGTTCATTAAGTCGAGCGTCGCTGCCGTCGCAACTGTTCAGGCTAAAGATTGTTCCGTCCTCGTGTAGGACAACGCAAAAACACACTACGCAACAATTAATAAAGCTACTATGTTAAACTGCTAATAGAGTTGTAACTACGATCAAAAGAGAGACAAATAAGAGAAATTTAGCTTTTTTAGCGGGTGACATCGAATAACGTACAACAATGGAACAACGATGTAGGGAAAGCAAGCTGCTTCCACTGCTGCTCCGATTACTATACAGTACAGGAAGGGGCTTTTGGATTGAAACGTCTGTACTTGCGTCTGAAAGATTCGGACCGAGCGAGGTTGGTCGCTCCGTCAACTCGCACCAAGCCAAGCAGGAGTTTGTTATGAAGTAGACGTCGCCATGATCCTCAGTTGTCTCTTACAGGAAATAAAACGAAGCAGAAAATCTAGACAGACCAACATAAAAAACGCGTTATATATACATAGGCAATCAATGTAATTACCTGTAGTATACACATGATCAGCGGCAGGAGTCAACGTAATCAGATATAAATCCAAACTCGACCCACTGCGAACCCTGTGGGACTAAACGAAAGTTCGAAGAAAAAGCCACCTGGTGACGAATATAAGGTAGTGCGAGTAGTAGAAAATTCAAACTAAACCAACCGATTTTCATCGAATTTCGTTGGTGGCATTTCCCTCTCCGAATAACCTTCAGCAAGTTCAGAATCCAAGCTCAACGAGAGACTGCTGAGAAAAAGAGGCCAGCCATTAAAAGAATGGAATACAATTGTGGCCTCAAAGGCGACTTAAATTTAGTTTGGGTTAGCTGGAAGGGCCGAAATCAGTTTTCCTTTCGGACCGACGCAAAGCACAAAGCTGCAGCTATCCAAAAACGAAAAAATAAAAAATAGCAAATTTAGTGGCAGTAGCAGCAGCAGTGCCTGCGACTACAACCCAACCTGGATTCTCCGCTTGAGCTGTTACTTGTTCTGCTTTTTGTGCTCCTCTTCCCCCGTTTTTCCTTTAGCCTCACCCATGCAATCTCCAGCTGATTTTGTGGCACATATGGCCTCTACCACAGCATTATAAGTCCTTCTGGAATCAGTAGTTTACGCAGGGTCCCATCGTGCCTTTAACTTTTTTTCGTCCTTTTGCTCCCGCCCGCTCCATTGCTCTAAGGTTTCCACTTTCAAAATTGCCGTAGGACAAGCGCTTGCAGCCGCCCTTGCTTAACTCTCCGAGCCAACGAACGCGATCTAAAAAAGGAAGACGAAGACGAAACTGCTGAGTGACGCAAACGTTCAAGTGGCTTGCCACCACCCCGTATGCAGTTAATCCGACCATCCATTTCTGGCTGATCCGGCTGGATTAACCTCTTTCTAGACTACGCGCCTCTACATAGGGACTGATGATGGTTAGGGATATTAAGGGGATCTGGACGACTGTATTCTAGTGAAATAAATGAAAGGTCATTCTGATGGCGGAACCGTAGAATGAACTCGAACGTGGCCAAAAGGAATAAGACACAGTCAACGAAAGACTATGAAGAGCCTAAGGACCCATCGCTCACTATCATGTTGAGTAAAATATAGTATCCAGAGAATGCAGAGCGTCTTCTCACAGCTACATAGCAAAGCCGGCAAGACCTCGCAAGCGAATAATGCATACACTGGACCTCACTCCAGACCCAACATCCTCTCGAATGTGTTTAGCTGTTTTCGAATACGCACGCTACGTAGTTCCTGTGGTCTAGCGGCTTCGCCTTCGGTGACTTCTTCACTAGTATCTGCTAAAAAAATGGAAATTGGGAGCAGTTTACAGATGTCTGGCGTGTAATTAAAAATTGAAAGACGGCACGATGACAAAGCAGTGCAAGTCTGCCACCGAACTGTACGCTTATCTGCGTGTATGTGACACGTGGTACACGATGGCGGGGATAGAAAGAACTCTTTATGTAAACAGATCTACGCTTTAGATTTAGTTTTGTAGAAACTCGATTTATTATGCATGAGTTGATAAAGTTGTTGGATTCTATGTTTGGGGGTTACTCAACTCCGGCACTCGATAAAACTATGAAGTATATAGATAAATATGTATTAATTCTTCCCACAGATTGTGTAATAAATGTCGCTGGCGAGACCTGAAGCAGCAATCCCATGCTTCGTTCAACTAAAGGCTTGGCCATTATAGCTACCGCGTCGAGAGATATATATACATATATAATATTTGACATTTCGTAAGTCCACTCTATACATACAAGAGGACAGAGCAGTAATGTGACAGTTGGAGAGCTTTCACTGAATAGATCTGCTTTTCATCGGCGGGATCCCCCGCAACTACGATGAATGTAAAATGAAGACTCTGTAGCTACCAAGCAACCTGCCCACCACCCGATATTCACACAGCCACATAGGTATATCTACGAATAATATTCGTTCATGAAATGTAGGGATGAGTCTCAAATTTGCGCTGACGAGCCAATATGATGGCGTTTTTAATTACGTTCTTGACTTTTCAATCTGTTATTGGCCGCAAGGCACACCACTAAGCATGAAGACCAAGTGTAATTTTGATATCTTGCTCACTCACAATTATACCGCCTGCAACATCTCCCATAGATGAGGCTATCACATTGAAAAATCATGCGCTTTAAATACAAAGATGTATCGAGCTGGTACGAACTACCTTCTATCACACAGGGGCCCGTGCATAGATTAAATCTCATAATCGTAGATATCTGGAAAAATATCCAAACTGTCCCACATACATTTTAACTCGTTTCGGCAAGTAACATACTTCTAGTTATTTGTAACCACCATCGAGCTAGAGCAAGCACGTGATCATAACAAGGTTTTTTTTCCATTCGCAAGAACACCGTGCATCAGTGCGTGCATGCTGCAAAATAATGAAACAACAAACGAAACCAAGACATACTATTGTAGATTTCTATCATACTTTTGATTCTTCTACCGGCATTTACAATTTAGCATTAATACAACACCGGTACACAATTACCAATAATTATAATGACTAATTGTGTCTTCCATTTACAGTAATCCTACACGTTGGCGCGCCAAAAATTGCCGACGACACAAGATGCACGTGTAATTAACTTTCATACACAAGCATCACGCAGGTATGTATCCGTTGATAGTTTATCACTACAGAAAACACCACGTCATTCCACCTCAAATCTCTCTACCAAGTCAATAACTGATTCAATGTTTGATCACAACAATTATCGTTTAGCTTCAATAAACAACTAGTGATGGTTATTCTATTATCTATGGGTTAGGTCAGGCAAAGGTAACCCCAAATCAATCTGCAACAAACGACAAAAAGCAAAGTCTACATGTTACAAGAATCGCTGCAATCGTTCGTACAGATAAGGCACACTTGCATCTTTACAACACCTGTAGTGAAATCAGGATCGCTCTTTAGCTTATGTTCCCCACCAAGACTGTGTGGTCAGTATTCAAACAGTTTGAAAAATACATATATACGAAGCATATTTAATATGAAGCCTGAACGAGCGCGTAATCTTCCATACTTTAAAATCTTCTACAGTACTGTTGCCAAGGCAAAGCTCGCGATTAGTATAAATTTAGGCTTCTTTTTGAGGCGAACTCCATTGTGCATCTAGCTATGATCCTACTTCGGCTCGCTTACGGTTCGGCACGGTACTACATATCAGCGACGTTTCGGTCTCTAAGTAAAAACCAGTAGGAGAGTACTACAGCACTCGTGTTTTCATGTCGCTGCGTGTCCCCGAAGGACGTTCGCTCTTCGTAGAAATCTTTCTTTCTCCATCCGATTCACGGGTCTGTTAAGCAGTGTCTGCGATACGGACGACGTGTCCTCCAAGAGCCCTTTTACGAGGAAGAGGCACCCACGCGACAAAGTTCCAAACAGCCACGTCGGCTACGGCCACCATTGGGTTTCGTGCTTTAGCTAACCGGGTACATTGCGAAAAAGCTCACGTAAAAATTAAAGATGACCACTCCTGCCATGTTGGCAGAATATAACATCATTGAGATCATTGAACGGAAAGGAACGAAAAATGATTAGCTGGCTGTCCTTCTATCCGTTTTGCCTTCGAAACACGAAAGCACAGCCAAGTAGGATGTGAACTCATGACAAGCTTATTGTTAGATCTGCGACTCGTCTTCGAAGACAGTAAAAAATCCAGAGAGAAGAAAGCATCTCTGAGATCCACAAAGTCATTGACGCAATATTAATTCAAAAGTGGGTCTAGACAGTGGACAGTAAATGTAAGACATCACAAATGAAAAAAATACTATTTTTCTACTTGGGTTATGACGGTGTCGGTAAGATGTACCCGGCGCAGACGAACTAGAACATGTCGTGTTTCGTTGTAAACAATTGACAAATTTTTCCCGTCTACCGTATGCTCTTAACTCGGATGCTATAGTTATACTGTTTTAACAATACAATAATAGATCAATAGAATTGAAGCCACTGTGCGTTACGAACAAAAACCAAGCCGTCCTATGTTCCCGGAAAACCGATCACAGTTTGCGACGATGTTTATTAAGTTATATAATGAACTTCTTAGATATTGATTTCGAGCGAATCTGAGCGCGCGCAAATACACGGAGAGGAGCGACAATACTACACGGGCCGTGATACTCCCCAATCCCCTAATGCGGACTAGCCTAGGAATACAGTATGTCATTGGTTGCTATACCACAAATTAAAGATTAAATTTACTATTGCATAATATTATCTAGTAATAGTAACAGTAGCAGTTGTAACGCTACTGGTGATTGCTCGTTCATCTTACTCACCTGAATAGAAATGATTTACTTTACTTGGACAAACACTAGCCGCATTTAACATATATGTGACGACAAGGAGAGAATTTTAAAGTTCACTATGAAAATTGAGAATCAATCTCGTAGCAAATCATCAGACACGGACATAACCCAATCGCGCACAAACTCTATCTATAAAAAATTTGGCTGGAAGATCTAGCTTAGCTAAATCTTCTCGATGTAATCTGCCCACGTTAACTCAGTACAAAAGGTCGCTCATACTCTTAGAGGCAGTTACCAGACGCTCCTGGTACCGCAGAAAAAAACCGCTGTCTGTTCAGCACAAAGGAAAATGGCACACCCAGACAAAACGAACGCTCTTGGAATTTAACTCTTTAATAATCACAGTGGCTTTTGCGCTAATGATTCAATAATTAAACCCTGTAAAAGTGCACGATATCTATATAAGGTACACAGTTTTATTCTGAATTTTATCACACACATGTCAACGACCTGTTAAATATGTTGTAAGTGGCGGCAGAATTATTTCAAATGATGTTACCATAACACGTTCCTCTACTCTGTAGTACTAACACAGCGGAACATAGAAGTGTGGTTCGCCAATGGTCAACGTAGATTATATTTGGAGACGATCATGAAGTAAATCGTAACGAGAGCAATCGCAGCAAAAGTTGGATCCCTTGATCTTGTATCAATCCAAGAAATGCAAATATTGTTTAAACTTAATCATTCTTTCGATAACGATAATAGATTGAACCGCTGCTTAGGCCGTATGCTAAAGACTTGACGCAAAATATAACGAAAGCACATCTACTTAACATCCAGCTTCAATAACTGAATGGATATCAAAAAAGAATATTTATTCGTTTAAAAAAATAATATTTATTATTTAAAGAGTAGTTGAAACCAATAACATTCTGAGTTCCGGTTATATTTTGTGGTAATGTCTTTGAACTAACTAGGTTATCGCTAAATGTTTTAATTCTGTCATCTCTGTCAGCCATCCGCACCGATACAAAATATTATTAGAGAGTTTGCCTGCACAGGTTTTTCAAAGAAGCTTACCAAATCACTTGCATAGACAAACCACGAACATGTGCTTTACTAGTAACAGAAGTAAGATTATTAACAAAATAATATCTATATAAGTTGATAGACACTTATCTGTGTGAAATTAAAATGAATTTATGTAGAAAAAACAACTATACTCTTATGTTCCAAATGAAATACAAATTTTTTGCGGAACAATGTTTAGTATTCCATAGACCAGCAAATCCAATGCATTTAAAATACAAGGACGTGCCTGAAGTACAACGAAGTATGTTTTGTGACGGACGTGCACTTAATAGCGTAGCTTTTATCTGTCGGGAAGCAGACGTTGAAGAAATTCAAAGAAAAACATTGTTTATCGTAAATTTCCACAACAAGGAGGAGTTTTATTTTGGAGCTTTGTACTAAAACGTTCTCAAACAGTAGTCTTGTTCCAGAGACTAACTCAGTTCTTTGAAACACGGAATGGTTGTCTCTGGCACCAAAGTTTTCTTTAATTCAATTTCTTAGTTCCTGTGTACACACAGTGATCTTTGGTAAGCTCCTAGAGCGATTGGGAGAAAACTAGATGTTAGTGATATATTGTCAAAAGCTGAATTTATGCTTATTCTACAAATGCGACTTAAAAACGTACAGGGAATTACGTTTCTCCAAACGCACAATGTTACTGTTAAATAGCTGCCATTCCTTGAGCAGGTAGTCAGTAATATTTGTAGCATGTTATATGACCTAACAATATAAGTTCGGTGCCCTGAGAGAACTTTCTAGCAGTTTCACCTCAAGCAAGTTACCACAAGGTGTCTCTAAGAACTCAGTGTTTTCTGTTCAAAATTGATTCGTTCCCACTCACAAGAGAGCAGTTGTTTGTACATACGCGCCATCTAAACACGTGTATAAATGGAAAACAAAAACAATTCTCATAAATGATACCAACTGATTACGGCTTGAGCCCGTTTATCGTTGCGTCGAACGGCTAATGAATGGTAGCACTCCGCTGGTATCTGTAGTGGAATAATGCACGTTTTTTAGACTAAACATGCGCTGGTTCGCATATATCGCTGCACAAACACACACCGATTCGTCTTTCTTTCGTTATTTACGGACGAACCTACCACAATGAAGCGAGTTGGTCAACGGTAGGAGATTCCTATTAGCTTTATTAAATGGCACTACTGCTAGCACTTCCAACAGTAATTCTACAACAAAAAACGTGATCCTCCAATCGAGCTGCCGCTTTCGTCGTGATTTAAAGGTGGCGGGTCGAACCAAAACAAGAACGTGGCAGTTTTTCGAATTTCTCGTAAGCGAAATACAATTTTTTCTCATTTATACAGCTTTTGCCACCTACTGTACAGTCCGTTGAACAATGTTATTCTCAACTAATGATATGATTAGCGTAAAGCATCACTATCCGAACCAATGCATTTCTAATAATTTGCTACTGGCGATTATAATTCGTTCACCCACCACTTCTTCTGTGGGCCCTCTCCCGTACAGGGCGCTGCTTTCGCGTTGAGCCACAAATGTCTGCTGGCCTGGAGCGACTACTTGGGCCTAAAAGCTTGGCCTCAGTTGTTCGCGATGTGCCGCGGAGTGCAGTAGATGGTGGAAGTGCAGGTGGCGCCTCTTTGAAGGTATAGTGCAGAGTGCGTGTGCAGGTGTGATTGACAGGTGAGGAGCAGGCAGGTCATTAACGAGTTAGCTTCGTGGCATGACAGTTTGGTGAGAACGTTGTGCTTGTTCCTGACTGGCTATTAGCCAGTGAACGGTGGTAGGATTTGCTGCGTTACGACGACCACAACGGCGGTGGAGAGAGACATCAGCGGTGCTGAACCGACTGCCGTGGGCCAAGGCGAAGAACAGCCTGGGAGGCCCCGAGCCGTCCAGCGCCCAAGATGGTTCAGCAATACCAAGGTCCGGTCCGGGTGTACAAGTACCCGTTTGAGTTGGTCATGGCTGCGTACGAACGACGGTTTCCAACCTGCCCAATGATTCCGATCATGCATAGTTCGGATATCATTCTCGAGGAGGTTTCGCCCGACAGCTCGACACGGAAGCTGCAACGACGCTGTCAGCTACACTTCGATGTGCCATACCTATTAAAGAAAGTAATGGGTGTCGAGTACTTATTGTTCATCCAACAGAACATCCTTGACCGCCGTAACCGCACCCTTCGAATCGATGCCTGGAATGAGTCGTTTGCTGGACGTGTGACTATTAAGGAATTATGTGTCTACTCCGTACACCCGGAGAATCCCAACTGGACGTGTTTCGAACAGAGTGCGTCACTTGATATGAAATCGTTTTTCGGCTTCGAATCGACGGTGGAGAAAATTGCGATGAAACAGTATTCGGCCGACATCGCCAAAGGCAGGGAAATTATTGAGCATTATATTAAGGAGCTGAAAAATGAAGGCATCACCCACGTCGAGCGCTGGGTCGATCCAAGTTTCAATGGTGCTGTCGCAGAAGCCACGGTGACCGCGACAACAACGACAACAACATCAACAACGACAGAAGCGAATGGTTCCGCAGCAATGGATACGGTAAAGGAAACACCGATCACCGTTCCAAAGGAAAAGGAGCCGCTGTCGAGAAAGAAATCCGACGATCCAACCCTCCGTAAACACCTGCCACTCGAGCGTGAACATTCGGTCCTAAAGGATATAGAGTCGGATCCACATATGAAGTTAGATTCGGATTATATAGAGAAATGCTTAGGTCATCTTACTCCATTTCAAGAATCGAATTTGGTAATGCTCAAAAACTGGATGGCGGAGAGCCACCAGGGCAAAGTACCCTCTGATGAGATGCTTATCCGTTTCCTAAAGGCGCGCGATTTTAATCAGGAGAAGGCTCGCGAGATGCTTTGCGAATCACTCGTGTGGCGTAAAAAGTACGCAGTGGACAAAATCCTGCAGAACTATCAAATACCGAAGATTGTCAAAGAGTACCTGCCCGGTGCGTGGCACTACAGCGATAAAAACGGCCGGCCTGTATATGTGCTCCGGCTCGGTCAGATTGACATCAAGGGCTTCATTAAATCGATAGGTCAGGAGGGTGTTATGAAGTTGGTTCTGCATATCTGCGAGCAGGGCCTACAGCTCACGGAGGAGGCGACGCGAAAGCTCGGCAAACCCGTGAGATCGTGGACGTGCCTACTCGACCTCGAAGGACTTAATATGCGCCATCTCTGGCGGCCCGGCATCAAAACATTGCTCCACATAATTGAAGTTGTTGAAGCAAACTACCCCGAAACCATGGGTCGCTGTTTAGTAACCCGAGCACCACGCGTGTTCCCTATTCTCTGGACATTGGTCAGTACGTTTATAAACGAAAACACTCGAGCAAAGTTTATATTCGTTGGACCTCAAGGAGAGGGTATCTCGGACTATATCGACCAGAAATACATCCCAGATTTTCTCGGTGGCCAATGTTCTGTTCATATAGCTGAAGGAGGCTTAGTACCAAAATCGTTCTACATGACGGAGGAAGAGTACGAACGTGAAAAGGCCGAATGGGCCGGCGAGTCCATTTTCTACGACAGCATGTACCATTCGGTGTCGCTTATAAAGAATCAGCCTGTACATGAAGTAGTAATTGACGTTGAGGACGTGAAAAGTGTTCTCTGTTGGGACTTTGACGTCATTAAGCAGGACGTCACATTCGCAGTGTTCCGCTGTCCACTGCGGAGCGTGAAGGCGGCCGTTGCCGGAGTTCCATCGGGCTCCAAAAGTCGTTCAGCCAGCATCGAAACGGAGGAAGTGGTATCGCCAACTGGTCCCCATTCGCCGTTGCCGCTACTGCAGAATCTGCAGCTCGAACCAGCCGTCGCCGTCATGCCCAAGGACTGGGTTCCTGGGAAAGATTATCATGTTATCGAGCAGCCAATTAAATGCTGTGACGGTGAAAGTGTGCAGGGTTCGTATGTCACATCACTACCGGGATCCTATGTCCTACAGTGGAAACGTGCCGGAGGCACGAGTGGCGACTATTTTGATTTTGGAAGCGCCAAATCGAAAGTGATGTACTATTGCGAGTTGATCAGTTCCGTTGATTACAAAGGATCCATGTCGAGTCTACAGTGCGCCCAAAGTGCTGGCACGGGAACGGACGGTGGAGTTCAGCCATAATATGAACGGACAAATAGAAGAGAAAGCAGTACTACAGTAAAGAAGCGATCATACACGACGATATATACAACAACTACAATAATAGCAACAAGTGATCTGATAACGACAACGGTTAAAGTAGTGCACGTGAAGCCGATGCTAAATTATTATATATGGGACGATTGAAGGCAAACGAGCGACAAAGAATATACCTGATACGAGCGAAGGAAAAACTGGCAGCGTTCAGTCGTGTTGTATATAATACGTATGGAATCGAGAAGTAAAGACGAGGAAAAGGTAGAAGAAAATAGTTAGCACGGCAATAGTGACAGCGAGCGACTACCACTACTACTACATAGAATTAACTGATTAAATATATTATTGCCATCATCATTGCTGGGGTTGTTTTGATAACCATGCACAATCTCCGCTTTTCGGAGATTCGCGCCATCTACCATATGCACGGGTCTATGCCACCTTCAGCACCAACTACGACTAGAACAGCGACAGCTTTTTAGGAGCTTATGGGAGTAACCAACCGAAATAGCAAAGCACAAACAAAAACTAAACAAAAACTGGCGCGATATAATGTTTTCGCGAACAGCGCTATGGGCAAATAGTGATCGGCTGTGCAAGACACAACGAGAAATGCCGTTTCATGATGGTCACGTCCGGGGTTCTAGAGGCAGTCGACGGAGCGAACCCTGGTGATTTTCTGGCTTCCTTTAAGGATATGCTCCACATACCTTTCCATCGGCGCAAGAACATGCAGCTTTCTTATAGGACACCTCGTAAAGTAAACCCACGCGATAGTAGCGCGACAGTTTTCAGAAGGTAGACTTCTACTGATCGAGGTGATACTGATGACAGCAATATCGGCGCACAGCTAAAGATAAACTCTCTGACAGAAACTAAAGAGAGTAGAACGAGTAGCGCAAATATTGAAAAAAGGAAGCGACGCACAAAGCACAAGCTCGAAGAGGAGACCTGCCTTTGCAACGGTAGTCGGACAGAGACAACGAGCCGTGTGCGGGGTCCAAACCTGCATTAAAGTTATCATGCTTAACGCAGTAGTGGTGACAGCGGTTGTAGTAGACGGCTATTGTGATAGCAGCTGATTTCAAAAATCAAGGAAACGTTCAGAAAATTGCACGCGAATTGGATTGGAACATGGCCGAGGGCGGCGATCAGCTTGCAAAAACGAGGGAAACAGCTTTACGATGAACTGCGGCGCGTTCAAAGCAAATTAATCATGAACACGAAGGAAATGAAGTGAATGCAATTGGTAAAAAGTGGTCCTAAAACCTGGGGTAAAAACGCACTTATTCATGATCAAGTGCAGATGACAAAGCACATTTAAAGGAAATGCTTATGGGACACACACTGTCTTAGAGCCACAGAGCTTCAAACCAAGCGCACGCTGTTAGAGCTCAATATACTTAATGCACTAAGCAATCGCCGCCATAATATCAGCTTAACAGAAATGAGAGCGAGGCGACAATACAAAATTAAAAGGTCGCAGTAAAACCGTTTGTACCGCAATCGTCACCTCCGAGTCTCACAGTAAAGTAGCAGTCTTCAGTTGAGCTTGGCTCATTAATGTTCTTCACAAAGATGGTGGTGATTTGCCCAGTGTGATTGATTCATCAGTTGTGGTTATCGATTGGTTATTTCACTAGCCTAGCCTAAAGCGAACTTCTCCTCGAGAGGAGGCCCTCTTTCGGCGTAACAATCGGCCTTAAGCAGACAGGCGGGAAATGCTTGCGTGAAACTTTGTCTACAGTAACAGCCAGCGAGTTTCGTCCACGTGCGTGTGTATCTGTGTACGTCTACTAATGGAGCGTAAACAATTTCAAAGCAGTCATTTGAATGGTTCTTATTACGCTAGCGATCTGGATTCTGCCGCAGCTGTGGTAAACAGCGCGAAGTGCCAGTCAAATTGTTCAACGCAAAATTTGCCCCTCCCGAGGAACCGTTGAAACTCACACCTGTTGTACGGTAGTCGACTATGCCTGACGAAAACGATGCTTCTATAGCAGTGAGGTCACTCTTGCTGCTACTGTAGTTATGATGGCTATTTCTTGTTATTACTGTCGCTAACACAGCTTTCCCCCACGAGGTCGGAATCGGTTTCATTGCCGCGCCGCTAATGCCATCATTCAATTGATTAATCACTCCATCGGTAGCTAAAAGCTGCTCCGGTGCTAGCAAGGGCGATGGCAATCAAGTCATCATCGTTCGACGATAATAGGAGAAACAACATCTACACAATGAAGATCTATAGCAGTAACAACAACAGCTGCTACTAAGGCAGAAGTCGTCGGCAGCATTGAGGTGTCAACTATATTGACGATAACAATAACGGTGACAACAAGTTCAGCCGTCGGACACAACAGCGTTACCGAAGGGATTGTATTGCTGCATCGCTTGAGGAATCGGCGACGCGCCGCAAGCGAGAACGTAGTCGCAATGTGCATGTTTGCGTCCCCACAGTTTGTTCAGCCTCACCTCTCTACGATAACTATCAATATTCCTAGATCACTTAATAGTGAATGGTATGCTTCTTGTAGATACGACTCGCTTAGTTTATAAATACATACACAAACACACACAAACAGATAAGCCAGAAGATCGACCCAAACAATGTAACGCGCCGTGAGTGTTCAGTGGCGACAACAAAATTCACTTAATGAATGGAAAATAATGGTTGGAGTGAACGTGAAGGAGGAAGGTTACAATCCGAATAATCGAGGAGATTTAGAGTGGCTGTGACAAGGGAAAGGCAAATTAAAAAAAAGGCTAGTCGTCGAGAGGGTAAGGAATAATCGGGGGATTCGATATATAGAGAAGACTGGGGTGGAAGAAATAGGTAAAGAACGACTTGAAGACCTGGTCAGTAACGAGTAACGGGCAACACTTCTAATTGTATCAGATTGAATCATCATAATTACGAGAACGATATTGAATATAATCGCTATGCTGTAAGATTTTTCATTTGGTCCACCGCAAAGCCTGCGGAACGACGGAGACCGTATACTAAAACGAAATAAGTAACTTGACATTTAATGACCAGAAAATGGCTTCTGGAAGACTTTGAGGGGTAGAGTGAGGTTGCCTAGAGCCGATTGAGTAAGATATCATCTAGTACATACGCAAAGAAATGTTGGAAGGACATTAAAGGCACAGGTTGTTGATGAAACGGAAGATTTCGCGGAAGACAACAAGCCAAGCGGGAAGTTCTGGTATGTTACCATTTTGATGAGTATAAACCATTGATACGAATCATGGGGAAAAAAGAAATAGAAAAACACAGAATTACAAACGTACGTTATCGTAGAGTAAATTATAGGAGAGCGATGTAACAGATTATTACAATCATTTATTATCATCATACTACTACCATACATAGCATATATTGAAGTATGTCAGTAGCTTTGTTTTATGGAATTGATATATCAGCAATAGATGAGGATGACGTGAATTTCGTGTTCGTGTGATCGAATATTTTTTACTTGGGACTTTTGTCTGGCCTACTAAGATTTGTTGTAGGACTAGGAGCGCGCGCGCCTCTGATTTGGCCTCCATTTGGGCAAATTCACTTGTTGCGTGGACTTGTTTGCTTTGCGATCCGCAGATTCATCGACATTAAATCTGTGTTTGATGCCATTCCCGTTGTATTCTTGGCACCGTGTGACTCGATTCAAAGTACGATGGTAGCATAAGGTTTATTGGTCTTCCCTCAGCTTTCAAATGCGACGCATATTGCGGGTTTAGCCTACAAAGTACATATTTTTCTGATTTTCTTATTAGCCTTTATCTTGTAATACGATAAGAGTGGTATGATTCGCTTTAATGGGGCTATAATGGCTAGTTTTGATGGGTAAGTAGCAGTGTCCCAAAAACAAGAGACTATGCTAGTAATTTCATCACTACTACTATTATAACGCTTTGATGGCTGCTACTGTTTCCAGTTAAGCCCCTTCTAAACGAATAAGAAACGTCATCCTCCATTTGATCTCAAACGGCGTGATACAGAGGACTGTTTCAAGAGGCCCCTCTTCGTTTGTTTTCAAGGTCATCTGCCACTTCAGAAGCAAGCAGTTGGATGACATTGCTTTGCGTAACAATGCCATTTCTTTCACTCGCCTCATTCTTGGTTCGTTAATGTGTGGCCCAGGAAAGAACCCGTTAAGTTCCTCACAGCTTATCTCCATTGCTCTTCGAGTCATTCTCTCTCTTCGTGTGTCTTTTCGTAAGTCAATCGGTCTCTGAAACTAACTCCGTAAGTGCATATTTTTCTGTTTTCGTCCTATTTGATACCAGCCCAGTTACCTCCGAATAATTTTTTGATGCTAATCTGTCGATGTCGCCATTGTTGTCGTTGTTATTGTCATTGTTATTGTTGTTGTTGTTGCTGCTGTCGTCGTTGTCATTGTCGTCGTCATCGCATCTTTCGTTAATGTTATTGCTCGTTGTTCTGTAGTTGCTCGAGTTTCTGTCCGTTGCTCTCTGTGCGTTCCATACTTCATGCGAGATTGTTCATATATCTCATATATATATATCAAAGCAATAGCTGGTAGTTGGGTCATGTGAGAGTGTCGTTGTGGGGTAGGCCGCGCTCACCTTTGGTACAGACGCCAGTTTTGCATTACGACTGGTTATAGAACCCTGGGGTGGAGCGGACCCGGGTAAGAAAAGGAGTTCTGGCGGTGTGTTTCGTTTCCAAATGCGAGGATGTGATTCGCTATTTGTCGGCTATCGAGGGGCAGGAATGAGATCAAACAACAGGCGCAGAACGGGTGAAAATGATACTGATGATGATGTTAGTGGTAGCTGTAGTAAACCCAAGGGTAGTGATGATGATGTCACTCAGCTGTACAACGCCTTATATATGTGGGTAAAGGTGTCTTATGCGGGCGTCGCTCTGCGCCACTGTACATCGGAGTGCGTGTGTATGTGTGTAGGGGACTAACTCTCCTCTATAACTAGCGTACTTTTTGGGTTTGCCTGGGAGAGGGGAGGATGTTTATCGGGGAGCTCCGAACACGAACCATTTCTCGGCTGCGCTTGACGAAGTGTCGACTAGTGAAACCTACACGCTACGATGATGTTGGCGAATGTTGTATATTGGCAAGTGTATATGGTTTAGTAAATACTTGGCTGACTCGGTGTTTGAACGCTGGGCGGTCTCGCAGTATCTGTGCCCTTTACTGCTTATAGTGTGCCGGTACAATGCTAACCGAACGCTTGTGTCGTACAAAACCATATTATCTTTCCCATGTTGCCTGCCCTGACAGTGTCCGTCACTTTGCCCATTAATTCCCGTTTTCCCCCTCTCCCAGTCACAAACAAGGTAAACCTGCCGGCCTTAAACCGTAGCGCTAGTATTGTGGCTTCTTTCCTTGGCCAAGTCATACTAGCTGCATCATTGACATTGATACGAGGTTCTACCGACCCAATCCTCCTGTGATTTTTGTCATTTCGTGTCGCTGTAAAGACACGCAGACATTTTTTTACTTGGATTGACAAACGAGACTGGACGAGGTCCAAGTCGTAATCTATCGATTGTAGCGGTTTGCAACGGGAACCTCTTTATCATTTTTTTGACTAGGCAAAGCGAAACGGACGAACACCAAGCAACGAAGCGCCTGCATCTATTACTATTACAGCATACGACGTAAGTCCTCAAAGAAGCGCACGTAAAACCAACAAGAAATGACGACGTGGCACAATCATCCAGTTCGTTCAATAGACGTGTCGAGCCGAACCATTGGCCGAGGGCCCTAGCGACGTGTGATGTATGTAAGCGAAACAAACTCTATCTGCGGCTCCTACTGTTACCCTAATCATAAGGTCGTCATATTGGCCCTTTTTCTGCGTAACCAACCACGTAGAGACCATCACTCTAGTGTCATCCGAACAGTTCCTTCTACGATCTCCAAAGCGCGGGCATCACTGCACTTTCTCTCCGTTCAATATCCCCGAGGCCTTACAAGCGTTACTTTAGAGTCGCGTCCACGAAGAGAGTGTCTGCGAAGACTGTTGCAACTCCACCAATGTCAACTACAGTGGTTCGGCATGCGACACATCTGACGCGATCGTCGTCCTCCCCATTGTCGCAATAACGTGCAGAGATACTACTTACCGATTGGTTGAATCTTCAATGTCAAAACAGGACGCTTCAAGAAGATGGGGAGTTCTCGACCGACTAGGGACGTTGAATAGCTTTTTTTGCTCACTTGGCCTTTTTCCCAGACAGTCGATCGAGTTATTCGTCTGATTCTAACATTTCGCAAAATTGTACCGGGAAATGTAAGATATAGGAAAGGAAGGAAGAAAAGAAAAGTGGAGAGAAAACGAACAGAGAATTGCAGAACAAAAAGAACCGGATGGATGCTAGCGAAGAACGGTTGGTGGAGAGAGGGAGAGCGAGACACACATGCATACTGCGGGTAAAGGGGGAAAACCCGCGAGCGATAAAATGATAAAATATCCCGTCAATGATGACAAGTGGATGTCGGCGGTACGTTGCATGAGCGACAATGGCAGCTGCAAAAGAGCAGTACCTGACCCTTTCGGAATCGATCAGCTTTTGTGCCCATCCCGTATTCACGCCGATTTTCCTCATCGTTGACTTCATCGTTAACATTAGCTATAACGACTGCGGCAATACATCGAAGTCGCTTGTGGTGCTTCTGCCTCAATCCTGCATCGGTCGGTCGGTCACCTTCCGTGGTTATTGCCCAGTCAATCTGACGGTTGTTTGGCGCGGTCGGACGGGGGCAAGATGCACTAGACTAACAACGAAGGGAAGGGGAATGGCTTTGAGAATGAAGCCCTCATTTTTGCCTGCTCGTGCAGATCGGCAGATCATAAGGTGGGGTCGCCCCAAGGACACGACAGGAGCATAAAATGATAGAGGGCTACGAAAGTTGCTCACGAACGAGAGTTCGGCGTGTTATTACGGTGCGCCGCTGCTGCTGCAGCAGAAAGCGATGGCAGCGACACTGGCTTTTAGGGATCGAATGGAATCGAATTTGTAACGATCGTGCGAATTCTATGGCAACTATAAATATATTCTTGTGATGCAAAACAGAATCCTTGACGGTAACAACAGCTACAGTGGAACCTCAGCTGGGCACGGTGAGAACAACGACAACAACGACGACGAAATACAATCAGACGGAACCAACTTCAGCGAGCTATCGCTGTGCTGCCAGATGCAGGTAACTGCTTATCTTCAGAGCTTGGCCTGTGGGTGCGCGGACGTATAAACGCATCGAGCGTCGATGTGACCGGGTGTCCTGCCTCGCTGCCTTCCCATCAGTTTGCCTCTGTCTGAATGAACGATAGGAACTCTGGCCAATGCAGGACAAGAACATTGTAAAGATATCTGCCGGAGCTTGCGTAGATCAGGCCATGAGTGACGCTTCATTCGTTAGTTTGAACTGAGAACTGTTGCTCGGTCGGATCTGGATGGCATGCACCATGTAGGTCTACTTGTGCTGCCTCAACTGCTACCAGTCAGTCAGTTGCCATGAAAATCCGGTCTAACGAAAAACGGCCTCAGAGATATACAAACAGTTCAGTCGCTGATTTTGAAGACGCGAGCAAGAGAAAACTAACGAAGCAGCCCGCTATTTTTGCTTATGAATGCATTTACTGGACAATTTTTTTTGACTACTTGCGGAGCGCAAGCTTTTGCCTAGCAGCCTGCCAAAATAATATGTACAATGACCATATAAAAGCCGGTTAGGACATCGTTGATTCCAATGGGTTCGAACAGCACTACTCGAATATAACAGCGTTACAGGTTAGTCTATCTCTTTGACAACGTCGCGGAAGTTATGCGGTGCGACATATAAGAAGAATAGAGATGATATTCAGGGAAATCGACCTACACGTAGATACAGCTGGAAGTGATGGAGGACATGACAAGGGGGGTTTCAACAAGTTGCAGTAATGCATGCAGCGGTAGAGCTATAGAAGACGATAAGGTTCACAAACGATTTGCGCCCTTCTGAGCCAGTGCTGAATGATTCAAGTTTGCATGCCCCCCCCCCCCCCGCCTCCCACTTTCCCCTACCTCCCCTGAGTTCTTGATCTCCCGTCGAATGTACTGCTGTGCATATACGGGGAGAAAAGGGAAACCGATCTCGTCTTTAATATGATTCTTATTAAAACTAAAAAACGAAGATGACTGATCATTTCTAATTATTGCAGTATTCTCTAGAACGGAGATGACAAAAAGCTACTATTGCAAATCACGAATCTACGTCCCGCGCTTTACATCCATCCTACTGTCCGGCCAAGCCGCCCCAAGGCGCTGAATAAACACTAAACAAAACCAACAAATGAACGATCCCAGTATCTTAAAAGTTGCACATTTACATCCCGATGATTGGTAACGTACGCCATAGCTAGTGTCGCACTTACCACGACATTGCTAGCGATGCCTCGCTCTCAATTTGGCGTTCGTAACGATGGTTATCGACTAACCTTACTTGCGACGAAGGCAATCGTTAAACCCACCCGCAGACAAAACGCCAGCGCCATACGCTGAGTGGCAAACGATAGGTTCTTTGCGCGACCGCTGCTCGCATGTTGTCTTTCTTCTATCAGCCAACCTTGTTATTTACGAAAAAGGGAAGCGCGAAATTACTCACTTGAACCTGAGCTGTCTAGAAGCTTATTACGATATATACATATATAGTTATTGATCCTAGGTAATCCTAGCTGAGAGCTAACTCGCTTCGGCAAATTCCTTCTTCTCTCGGCCAGCTGATCTTGTCTTCGGATGTCTACTATATCCTTCTGTTCTTGTTTGACTGATTGACAATAGACAACGTTTGACAATAAGACCAGACTATAAAACTAGAAGAAGGTAATGGTGATGGTAACAATTAAAGCGATATAACAACCAGCTATGTATATAAAACAAGAATTGTGTTCTGCTACTTAAATGGGTGTTAAGAAAGCTTGGCAGGGCCATTTCAGATAAACTTGACGTAGCCGTTGGCCGTCATCGAGGTCAGCATCACATGCTGCTTTAATGGCAAATGAGTGCTGAGTGAAGAACATGACTGAGTGAATAAAATGATGGTAATGCTAGTTCAAGAGCGAGAAGGTAAGGTAGATATGGATAGAAAATACAAGGCAGACAAGGGAAAAGCACAAGTGCACACATTTACATAAGGTAAATCAGTTGCACATGAGGAGGTACGGAGACGCCGTTGTCATATGACGTGGACAATACGCCGCACAGTCGAGAGATAAACGATGAGTTGTTCCCGTTAAAGCGGGAGATATTGCTAAGTGATGCCGTAAACAGTGATAAAAATTCGAATGTAGGGAGAGAGAGGTTTAGAGGTTTCATGCGGATGAGTGTGTGTGTGTGTGTGTGTTTTGCTGTATGATGATGCGGGTCCCCCTCAGGCGTCGAAACGCCATCGTTTGTTTACATCTGCGTTATACGCAGAAGAAAGGAGAACATGGAAGGAAAAGTGACATGTATATGGGAGAGACCAACAGAGAGAGAGAGGGAAAAGCGTGTCATGGACGAGCACAGACGATGAAATGCTTGAAAATAGCGATTATCATTTGTATTATGTCTACTTTTATATGCAGGATAAACGAGAAACGAAGACGTACAGATATATTTAGGAAGAGAAAGTAAGAGATTGTGGAGATAATTATTCAATATAATGCATTATTATCGAGACCGTGTTAATGACAAAACTAGTAATAATTGCCTCTCGACTAGCGCGAAAACAAGAGATGCGAACGAGAGTACTATAGCGCGCAGGGTATAATAGCAAATAGACAAAAATATAAATCAACAAAAAACAAATCTGTCACATTAAGCACACACATGAAGACATACACATGACAGAAGCGATACATACAACATAATACATCACAAAACAAGCTCCATTGCGATACAGGGAAATAGTACATCGAATAGCGAGAATGATTACAAAGTAGAAGCAGAAGCAGAACAAACGCGAACGCGAATAACATCCACTTCGAATAACAGCGTAAACAATGAGACCGATCACAAAAAAATGTTACAATTAACTTAGTACGAGATCAGCTGCATAGGGATTAAGCATAGAAAAACTATTGTGTCAGGTATATTGAGCTGTATAATGATATACTGTCATTGTGTTAACATCCTCTCCTTTAGTGATCCGTCAACAAATAAGAGACGTTCATAGCACAATTATATTATATATATATATTGTTTACTAAACTGCTATTTGGCGAGGAGGAGTTGGGCACGATGTGGAGTTCGAGAATTGGAATAATGTGGTAGGGTAGCGATAACAAACACGTGACACTATCTTTTGGACAGGGACGGAGACAGATATTGGCATTCATTAGTACTATTGTTGTTCCTTTACTTCTCCTCACGTTCCTCTAATTTTTGTTGCTGATTGAAACCGATGAATTAATTGGGAAAAAAAATAGCCGAAAAAGTTGACGACCATATAAGGCGACGAAGTACGACTAAAACGTTTGAGCAGAAGCAGCCGACTAAAAGCAATACCCTCTGCGGCAACAAAGTAGACAAGAATTCATTAGAAAAATACCGAACGCTGAATTTTGAATTCTCCGCCTTCAGTATGTTAGCTGTCAACGAACAGTTGTATCTGATGAAGCCAAGCCGTGGCGGAAATTCTGACGGTTGTCATTCGGAATTTTTAGCGGAAATGTTTGTCGGAAAGGGCACGTACATGATACTATATAACTAGTTAACGAGACTGGTCCTCTCTCAAATTATCCAAAACTCTTACATAAGTCAGTTATGAGGCAAAACGTGACTAACGCTAAATCCTAGTGGAACTAGGCAGCATAAATCAAATTACACAGTTTTCATTGCAAGTTGCTTCATAAAAGCAACAGATAGATGGTCTATAAATACATCGCCTAGCTAGCAACTGGCAACGAAACCATTAATGCTTCTCTGAGTTTAACCATATTAACGATTTGTTTTCTGTAGATAGCGTGAGGTCACAGAGCCAGTGTTTGTCGAGCCACTCACTGCTTTTTTCTTCTGCTGTCAGGACAGATGTAGGACAAACAGCACGGCCATCGAGATCTTCCAGACTGCTCTTGCAACGCGTGCAGTGTTCCTTATAAAAAAAATCGTTAATATCATTAAGTAAATTGAGCAAAGCATTAATGGTTGAATTGCTTGTTACCAGCTAGACGATCTCGGCTGAATAAATCTGCATAAATCAGTAAACGATATAACTTATAAGACCACCAGCGTACGGTTTGACATTCTTGTTTCTAACTGCATTTCTAAAAGATATCACCATTCTGGCACGATGTAACTCTCCATACAAATACGTTATCGTCTAGTTGCTTCTCTGCGCGGTACGCGCGAAATGAGGTCGCAAATGAGAGTTGTCATTTGGAGTGAACTGCAGGATGGACGACACACGTTAAAATACGTTCGCCGTCAGCTAGGGTAAACGATACAATTATATTTATAGTCGCATTATTGTTGTTGTTCTATCCGACGTAAATAATAAATGAGGCATGAGTTGACCATTGCGGCGAACGACAGCGGCTATCTAATCACTGTCATTGATAACTAAGCAACTCGTTGATGACGAGCCGATTGTAGTAAGTCGATGACAATGAAAGGGTCTGAAAAGAGTGAATGAATGTCTGCGTGGGTCTCAGTAAAACGCTGAGGGTAACACGCTAAGGGAATATATGACTGACATTTTGGTGCGTTCAAGGATCTGGGAGATTGAAGTGTATGTAGGATGAATTGTGTGTGCGCTTACACGAGACGAAGTTGTCAAAAGTAAAGAACGAGACAGAAGGGGACGGAATGTGCCAGTACGTAAAAACATCGGTCCCGCGGTGGTGACGCAAGTTCTGGATATCGGCCAGACTGAACGCACTGAATGCGCAACGTTACTGATCCGATAATTCAAGGAAAAACACGGCGAGGTCATTCATGAATCGACGACGGAAGGACTGATTGTTAATGTAGTTTCCTGATGACAATGAGTCAGATTTCTGTAATAGTGGTCATGACCGCGGTGGCCCTGTATGGATATCGAGTCAATCATTGCACCTTCCATGATGACCAGGGTAAGATACCAAGAGAACAGACCGATTGGAAGTGTGCCTCCCTTATTTCAGCTTTATATATTATGCTGATTTTTCCTCATCATCGTGACGATACTTTAGAACACTTTTTTCAAAATCATATCATCTCGCTTGTTGACACTTAATATAGACTAGGCTAAACGCACAGTTCGACGAAGGGCAGATACGATTTCAATGATACTATAACAATGGACGGCAGACTTTTATGTGCACACATTTCGCAAACGCACCCTTCGTTCATTCACCTAACATTCAGGAGTTTTCTTTTGTTTTCCGATATTAAGACACCGAGAAAAACGTGTATGAATCAAAGGAGCGGGCAGCATTCCGATATACGTTTGGAGCATTGCCATAGCTAAGCTGAGCTTTTCACAATTACTGTTTGGTACATAGGCAGGGCAAACAGTGGCGCTTTTTCGTTCTTAAGAATCCGAATTAGCCTTAATCGAGTTTGATGTTTACTTTAGCGCGAGTTCACCCGGTGATTTGCTGGGCAAGGCAATTTGCGGGTGCACGAGAGAGACTCAACCCCCAACAATTTTACTGGCTTTATTTGGGTCACTAGAATGCTTGCTACTCGAATCTTGCCGTACGGACTTGCTTGCCAAGCTCTATGAGAGTTACGAGGAACATTAGGATGTGCGTAGGATCATGCGTAAGGGCACGGTCGCTGCAAGATTATAGTATCCGAAGCACCGCAGCCTCACTGCAATTTTCCGCCTCAGACCAGGACAGAAGAAGCACAAGTGTGCGTGTGAATGCGAGTTGTCGCATCATAAAGTCTGTCTGTCTCTCTGCCTCCGGACCGCTTGGATCGGATCGATAGCATGCGATAGCTACTGAGTGAAAACGTTACAAATGTAATTTAGTAAGAAAGGCTGTTAGGTCTGTACGTATGTATGTATGTAAGTACATGTGTACTGTGTATGTGTGTGCGTGTGTATGCAGTTGTGCCATCTATCAACAACAACAGTAATAATAGAGACAATAAAATAAAAATGATGACAATGATGAATAATATTACAAACAATGTTTAGGAAGAGTTGACATGAAACTGCACATTTTTGCTCGCATACGCGGTTAAAATAATAATAATAATAATAATAGTAATAACAACAACAATTCATATTATAGAGATGCTACGAAGCGAAAAACGTTAGTTAAGAGGAAAAATGGGACAGAAGGATAAAAAAAATAGTCAAAAAGCTGAAAATAACACTACAAAAAAAAAGATAAAAACACAGGTTACAAAGAGATTAAACAGGAAGTTGTTCAATATTTTACGTTAGTGACATGAAGTCGACAATAATTGTGATTATGGCGGTGATGGTGATGATGGTATGAAAAATACATCTAAAAATCATAGTAGCAAAGAGGACAAATAAAGAATTATATAAGAGATCGTTGGTTATTGATATTATATATCAATATAAACAATATATATATATATATATATATATATATATATATATATATATATATATATATATAAACAGAACGAAATTTATGAGGGAAATACGTAAATGCATATAATTATATACGGATAGAGTTATAAAAAAAAAGTGCGTATAGATAGAAAACTACAGATGATGTGACAAAAAAAGCAAACAAACAAATAGATGAACACAGCCGAATAGCAAAAGATGTAGCTGAGAAGGAAGTTTACGCACGCACCCTCACCCCCCCCCCCCCCCCCCCCCGAGCTAACAAAAACAAACGAAAGCGAACGAGACAAACAGAACGAGAAAGGTGGGCGGGGTCGAAGAACTTGTTTAGAGGAATAGCGCGTAAAATTAAGTAGGAAATAGATACAGGACGTGGCTGTGGGCGATGACGAAATGACAAAAAAGAAAATGGCCATATTGACAATGATGAATAAATGGATGAAAACGTAAAAGCGGCGTGGCAAAATGTGAAAGTAAGTGCAAGAGGATAATAAATCATGTTATTATATTCGCCTATATGTATAATTCATTTGTGCTGTCTTTTTGTGGGATTTGATATCGACTGTTTAATACAGGTAATTTCACAATGGATCGTTGTGCTGCTTGCCTATTGTTAGTAAACAATTACCACTATCATGATAGCGATAGAGATAGAAAATAATCATCGTACTATGAAACATGATGGAGGACAAAGTATTATCAGTTCGATTAACAAGTATTACTTTAAATCCAATATAAATGAGGATCCATATTTTCAAAGGTGTCCACGTCCGTACGGTTTAACTGAATATGGTGTCGACCTTTTTTTAATTGTATAATCGTTTCATATCGTTATATCAGGCTATTTGGATGTATGCTAAGTGGACGTCTTCTGTTCGATTCTACCTCAGCAATCGTGCATAAAGCCAGATAGAATATAGTCATGTAGAAATAGAGATGTTTCTCACATGGCGTTATTCACAAGAGTCTCTTTTTCAACACCTAATAATGCCAACAGCGAAAGCTAGCACTATCACAATGTTAAAAAAAAAAGTGACAACAGCATCATCCTGTTACGGCATTATCAGTTTGATCCTGTGTGAATTATGGATATAATTACATATAAAGGAGATTGTTGCAAAGTTAATTTTCTATTAAATAAAAAAGTTTTCACTAGAGTTTGTTTGTGTACGCCAAATAACTATTACCATAGAGATTTGATTTCTGCTAGCATAAAGGTAGAACGTACTTAGGTTATATTCAGTAAACCGCCAATATTGTATACTAGGATAAATGTCTTTTTGGGATTCAGCAAGACGTAATCATATCTAAGAAATGGGTTCTGTCCACGTTGGTCCTTAGCTAAATTCGTTGGTCATTATCGGAAAGCTGTTGATGTATGTGTGTACCTTTGCATTGTGTGGTTACGTGACTGTCGACGCTGCCGTCATACTAGCAGGTCGTACTGTGCTAGACCAAAATGGCGCTGATATTATTAAAAACGACAGCATTTGCACAAATTTCCGACCCAACCCAACGCATTGCATCTATAACCAAGCTTACAACGCAACGATATCTACTACGCATGCTAATTTTAGTATTTCTACTAAATTTTGTATTAGTTTTATAAATAATATAAAATTTAGTAATAATAAACTTATTACATTTTATAGCTTTACTAATATTTGCAATAAGTTACCTTACGCAACTAACACCCATTTTCCACGAAGCTGACGAGGTTTCATACTAGAAATTCCACAACGAAAAGCTGTTAATAGGTTTTTTTCTAAATTTGCCTTCTGCTAAATTAGGATTTCTCATCATCAGACATTTCGAGCCACACATGCGTGTAGCATAAGGGGGGTTCTACTCAAAATACCTTTATATAACAGCAAACATGTAATAGTTTGCGTTGAATAACTCCTTCGAGTTCTCTATTAGGTGCCACTGTGTTAAGGATTGCTTCATACGCCTGACGGGCCCGTTTAGGACAACGAGAACCGTATGTATACGGTTAGCTTCGAACCTTGACCACCTCACGTAATTCATAATCTAATCTAATATTTCTTATGTCTACTGGAAATGCATACAAAGGCTAAAAGAGATTAGTACAATCTCTTTTAGCCTTTGTATGGTTATATAAAAAAAAAAAAGGTCTATATACCTACATGTTCAGATACCTAAATATTTAGTACAAATATTTAGGTATCTGAACATGTAGGTATATAGACCTTTAGTTGTCAAATGTCGAAAGCATTTTTCCCGATTGCGTGATGTCACTGGCGCAAAATCCGTCGAATTACCAACTGTTCATTAAGTATTTCATTTGAAAACTAAAGGCAACGGCAACTTCAGTGCAGATTTTCAAGACATCGAAGGTTTCGGCCCTACCTATACACATGAGTACACAAAAGTTTTCTACAAATCCTAGAAACCGACCCAACGAATGTATCGGACAAACAACGTCCTATGCTAAAATGAATTTCCACAGCGGAATATGTAATGCGTTTTGCTAAATCCGTGTCATAAAAATTATTTTTCGCTTTCGGATATATAGTACAAAACGTAATCTGCTTTATCGGAAAGTTATACTATTAGTTATCTAGTTGTGCGACCGGCCATGATTGCGGCATTTCGTATTGTCTTCAATTTCATGTGTAAGTCGGTGTATCACCATTCTCTACGTGGCGAAAACTGTTATATATTCCAAAATATACTATACAATAGCAAACCAACTCAAGGTAAGTTTCTTGCAGGAAATTTACGAAGTTCAGTTTCGCGCAGCTAACGAGCTATTCTAGTTGGTTGAATTTCCAGCGAATAAAAAGAAAGTTGTACATTTGGAACGCATGTATGTTTCTCACGCACGGCGATAGGTACACAGTAGGTCCCATAGTACTTGATCTGAGAGACGAAGTCTGATCCGCGTAACGCTTTAGCCCCCCATTTCCTCAAAGAAGAAAAGGTGAGCTGGCAGCTGCGATGAATTAACGGAAGTAAGTAGATTGGTACTTCATTGTCATTAATGTTCCTTAGTATTGTCGATTACACAGAAGGTACCAGTTTCGATTGGTTTCTTCTCACTATGAGAATAGAAGCTTCGATCATTTGGTCCAAAATTAAGGCAATGCAACATCGTGCTTAGCTTACATTTCGCATTTGCTGCAACATGAACATACGATGTTATCATATTTAGTGGGATACGGCGGAAAACAGCGAAAGACTTTTGGATTGAATTTCGACTTTTTCGTTCGGTATCTAAGCCGTTAAACATAGTTTCAGAGACTCTTGCTTGCGCAAAGCAGACAGTATGTCTACTCCGGTTTAGAACCTAGATCACCACGTGTCTCCCACCCTGCTAACGGAGTACGCCAAAACCATATTAATCCTCCCCCCACATTAAGTTAAATAACATATCTGCACAACTATCAAAATCAGTTATCCACATTTTTTTTCTTTTCTAATTATTTCCACAAGACGCATTTCTTCATTATTGTTGCTAGTTTTATAAGTAATTTAATTTAGGCAGCGATTGTATGGAGTTTATGTTCTGCATAAAATGTAGACGCATGATGTAATGTACTTAAATGGACAACTACTATGATTAAGTTGTTTAAACTTTATATGTGTGCGTGCGAGACAAATGACTTTGCAGAAGTCCGCGATGCAATTGATGAGCAAACGCTAAATGACTACTATTTATTTTTACTGCATGACGCCAGCAGATGTCCTCTACATGCTTTGTTGTATCGACTGTGATTGCATTCAGCAATATGGAGTGTGGAAAGCGGCAAACGAGGCAACACACGCGCGGAGAGCAAGTCCAGGCCGTAGGAACAGGAAAAAATCCGAATGTAAATCTATTGTCAGCATTGCTGAAAATGCTAGCACTAACGCTCTACATCCTCAGGTAGCGCATCTCATATCATAAGACGTACTCGACTGGACTGGTGACTTTAAAGAAGCCGGCTCTCGATTCTTCTTCTAGGCTACTCAATCAACCAACTAAGCGTTCTTTACGCAAAGAGCGAGCAAAAAATAAAGAGACGATTCAAACGGTGGTTGGAGCACATGATTGCCTTAGATGTTTCGTCAGATGGCAAAAGCTGTGACGATCTTAGTTCTTGCTGTGTAGCAGCGCAGGCATAAGAGACAAGTGGCAGACGAAAGTAATAAAGTCGTTGCTGGACATGGCATGTTTGTCGGGTTAGTAAAAGCTTGGAAAGAGGCCCTTGAATTATGTGAGCAGCGTTGCTACTTTCTTGGCGGTAAATGGTACTCGACTGAGTTGTTCTGTGGCCATTGTACCTAGTGTCGAATCGCTTCCGTTGGAAACGGTTTGATTACGGATGCCTATTGTTCCGCGATAAATCGGTGACGTGTTTCGTGGCAAGAGAGAAAATTAGCCGTTAGTGCTTCTATCTTGGTTTATTGAAGATTGCCGTTAGCAGCGTCCGTTCCTGCTCCCTGAGGTTACCGCCATCGAAGTTTTTTGTGCCGATTTCAGGCGCCAGCATAGGGCGTCTGGTTAAGCGTGACTCGCTTAATGACAAGCGGTTTCACCCGGAAAAAGTGCACGGCTAGAGTGGGTCGAGGCAATCAACTGAGCCCTGAACGTTGCCTCTAATGAGCACTGTTGAGTGATCGAGATGAGGCACCATTGTCTTTTCTACGGTGTATATTGAGTATAAACTATATCACTCCAATTCATTAGAGTTCTACTAAACACGGCCTTTTTTTCTTTTTGAACATAGCTCACTCAATTCAATGAGTCGACAAAGAAGCTGTT